ACAATTCATAAACCCTCTACCAATGTTATCTTTTTCTTCCACTTTATAAGAGTTCACAGTTATTAATGAAGCAAGCATAATTTCAAGCTTTACATTTGTAAATAAAAATAAAGTACAAATAACTTGTGGGAATTTTTGTCCTTGAAAGTTATTTAGGATAAAAAACCAAGTTGGGCGGGTTTGAAACTGAAGCTAAGAGCATACAAGCAAATTGGAATGGCAGCTTTTGAAGAAAAGAAACACAACAACCATTTGAGTTCAATTAATTTACTTCAAGGAAAAAAAGTTGAAAGAAAAAAGGTTATATGTGTGTTTGCAAACAAAGTACATTTGCGAACTTAGCTTGCTTGAAGTTTTGTCCTTGTAACTGGTAAGACAGTCTGTAGCAGTGGTAGTGGACTTTTAAGTGGCTGTCCTAACTTCCTCTGGGTTGCAGGCTTGTATCCAGGTTGAGTGTCACACATGTCAATAGCAGCAGCTGCTTGTCACTGGCCATCCAGGGCTCAGGTAAAGGCAGTCTATCACACAGGCTGCAAGACACAGGTCAACAGGTCAAGGCTAAGAGCCAGTTGCAAAAGAAAGCAAATGATAAAAAGAGGCCGAATTGTGGAAGTCAGACTTTATATAGGGGTCTGCCGAGGGTACCACACAACTGCTACAAGGGCACTGATTGAACTCGCATTTCAGCCCATTCCACATGTGACCATTAAATAAACTCTTTGAGAAGTCATAGATTGATTTTTCATTGTATATTAAGGAAATGATTTTTTTTAAAAACATCAATTTTTCGATTCTGAAAAATGTTGTAGCTTGGGGAAGATGTCATGAATGCTAATCTACATTAAGTAGTAAAAAATTTTCTTCTTTATTTTCCTAACTACCTACATATCTATATAAGATTGTCAGGTGATCTGATATCTGTGCAGATTCAGCCTAGTGGATTAAGGAGTTAATCTGGTGTGATTTATCATGTCATAATAATTATGAGTTCAATCCCTGAGCTTGGTAGTACAAAATCAGTGTCAGACTTAATAGAAATAAAATACATGATAACTGAGTAATACTAAAAAACAACACAATGAGATATGAACATTGGAACGAGAACAATCCGCCCCTGTAGATTAAATAAAATGTTTGGTTCAAAATTACCTGAATGTTACCTGGATCAACAAACACCTGAAGAAGGTGGGAGATAATGTGATGAGAACAAAAATGAGGACATTAGTCTGAATATAAATAATAATAGCAACTCCTTATTCCAGAAAGTTAGACAGAAATTATCGTGCCGGTATGATCTAAAAAAAGAACAACATCCTTCAGAGTTGTTTGATCCATCAGAAACTGTCACAGATGACATTCCTATAGGGATGTAAGGATCTAAAAAAAGAACAACATCCTTCAGAGTTGTTTGATCCATCAGAAACTGTCACAGATGACATTCCTAAAAAATCTAAAAAGAACAACATCCTTCAGAGTTGTTTGATCCATCAGAAACTGTCACAGATGATGACATTCCATATAGGGATTTGATCCAAGAAACATTCATCTATCTAAAAAAAAATTCCTATTTGGGATGTCTGGGATTCTAAAAAAAAAACAACATCCTTCAGAGTTGTTTGATCCATCAGAAACTGTCACAGATGACATTCCTATAGGGATGTAAGGATCTAAAAAAGAACAACATCCTTCAGAGTTGTTTGATCCATCAGAAACTGTCATAGATGACATTCCTATAGGGATGTAGGATCTAAAAAAAAAGAACAACATCCTTCAGAGTTGTTTTTGATATCAGAAATTGTCACAGATCCATAGGGATCAGAAACTCAAAGATGACATCCCTATATATGGGAAAGATGGATCTAAAAAAAGAAGAACATCCTTCAGAGTTGTTTGATCCACATTCCTATAATGTAAGGATCTAAAAAAGAACAACATCCTTCAGAGTTGTTTGATCCATCAGAAACTGTCACAGATGACATTCCTAGGGATGTAAGGATCTAAAAAAAGAACAACATCCTTCAGGGACATTCCTATAGATGTAAATCTAAAAAAAGAACAACATCCTTCAGAGTTGTTTGATCCATCAGAAACTGTCACAGATGACATTCCTATATGGGATGTAAAAAAATCTAAAAAAAAACAATGATCCTTCAGAGTTGTTTTGATCCATCAGAAACTGTCACAGATGACATTCCTATAGGGATGTAAGGATCTAAAAAAAACAACATCCTTCAGAGTTGTTTGATCCATCAGAAACTGTCACAGATGACATTCCTATAGGGATGTAAGGATCTAAAAAAAGAACAACATCCTTCAGAGTTGTTTGATCCATCAGAAACTGTCACAGATGACATTCCTATAGGGATGTAAGGATCTAAAAAAAGAACAACATCCTTCAGAGTTGTTTGATCCATCAGAAACTGTCACAGATGACATTCCTATAGGGATGTAAGGATCTAAAAAAAGAACAACATCCTTCAGAGTTGTTTGATCCATCAGAAACTGTCACAGATGACATTCCTATAGGGATGTAAGGATCTAAAAAAGGATGTACATCCTTCAGGATCCAAAAAAGAACAACATCCTTCAGAGGATTGTTTGATCCATCAGAAACTGTCACAGATGACATTCCTATAGGGATGTAAGGATCTAAAAAAAAAACAACATCCTTCAGAGTTGTTTGATCCATCAGAAACTGTCACAGATGACATCCTTCAGAGTTGTTTGATCCATCAGAAACTAGGGATTCCTAAATGGAATCTAAAAAAGAACAACATCCAGAAAATCATCTAAAAAAAAAACAACATCCTTCAGAGTTGTTTGATCCATCAGAAACTGTCACAGATGACATTCCTATAGGGATGTCCTTCAGACATCTAAAAAAGAACAACATCCTTCAGAGTTGTTTGATCCATCAGAAACTGTCACAGATGACATTCCTATAGGGATGTAAGGATCTAAAAAAAGAACAACATCCTTCAGAGTTGTTTGATCCATCAGAAACTGTCACAGATGACATTCCTATAGGGATGGGATGTAAGGATCTAAAAAGAAGAACATCCTTCAGAGTTGTTTGATCCAAAAAAACTGAAGATGACAATAGGGATGTAAGGATCTAAAAAAAGAACAACATCCTTTTCAATGTAAATTTTTTTTCTCTAGAAATTTAGATGAACACTTCATAAAAACCGTCTGCCATTTCAGTATCCACTGTTTAGAAATTATTCCACATTAACTGGTATATGGGAGAATAGATATGATAAAGCAGTTCTACACACATTTCTTTATTTCTAAAGAGATATTCCAATGTCTAAAGAATTTGTTTAGTCTTTGAAGGGCCTCTTTTGCAATTCATATGCACCTTTGGATCTCTGTGTCAAACTCTCTTATGTTATTACATTACCCAGGTAGTTAAATTAAAGGGACTAATCGGAAGAGCAAATAAATGCCCTCAGATAGAGTTCGGACTCAATTGATTCCATTTTCTTTTCAATGCTGAGAATAGCTGCACTGTTACCTGTTGTTAATGTTTTTGATTGCTTCCTTAGTTCAACTTCTTTAAAAGAAGAAATTTGCTTTTGAAAATATCAAAAAGAAAAAAGAACTTTTTGTTGTTCTAATTCATCATTTTGGAAGTATTTTGGTGTAACGATACTTTCAAAGAGATTACTGAATTGTAAGCCCACAAAATTTGATTGAATCTGCTGTGTTCTCCAGAATTGAGATAAAAAATATCTCTATACTTTTTATTCATTTTAAATATTAAAAAATTATCTATATGCAAATCTTGACAGGATGCAGACTTCCCTGCAAAATAACATAAATCCTGTTTTAACATCGTTTCTAAATTCATTGTCTTTATTGAATCAGATTGAATATTTATTGTTTAAAATATCTTTGTTTATATCTAACATTATTAAGTGTTAGGAAGATAGATTTCTTTTTAAAATTTGTTCGTCCGGAGTGTGACAATAAACTACAACCGGCAGTAATGCCTCTGATTAGATTAGTGGAGGTTTTGAGGAGTGTGGAACAACCTCTTAATTGCTGTTGTTCCCAGGTCCACCCTGACCTGGGGTGGTAGCACCTGTTAGGGTCTCAGCTATGGGCAAATAATGAACCCCCAAATAAAACTCAACAATACATTTTTATAGCAAAATGACAATGCAGCACGAAAATATATAAAAATACATTTTTATAGAAAAATTACCAAAAAATACATTTAATGATTTACAAAATATATATCTAAAATATACATCTTTAAACTGAAAGTATAAAATTATGTACAAAATATCTGTAGTTGAAAGCATTAAATAACCCATAGTGGTGTTGATATGCCACTAAACAAAATCGACCAAACGACCAACAGGAAAGAACTCTTTCAGGACATTAATCCATATATTATCCCACACATTTTTTTAAGAAATCAAACTTTATTCCAAAATATAACTTCAATAAAACTACAACATAAAATACACATAACACCACCTCTAATAATCATGTCCACACAAACATGTATATGTACAAAAGCTGAGTATCATCTACCATGTATTCAATTGTGAAAGCAGAATAACATACATCATATTTTTATTACTTCAAAGCTCCAAAGAAAGTTAAATTTTAGCATTAAATTACCTATAATGACTTGAATTTGTTTAATAGAAATGCTTACATCAATGTAACCTTGGTCTACATGTAAAGGATTTTTTTTTGTATATATATGAAAGTAGAAAAACTTTTCAAATTTTTGCATTTCAGGAAAAAACATCAAAACATGATATATTAAATGCATTCATTTCCTTTGATTCTAGGATGTGCTGAAACTTCAGAAGTACAAGACTGAAATTCAACAAACCCAGAGAAATCTCCGAGAACGCATTCTCCGTGCAGAAAAGGATAAGGAAATTCTATCCGAGGAACTGAATTTGCTTTGGCGTCAACGAAAAGCAATGCGCCAGAGTAATTATGAAAGTAACATAAAAAATACTGCAATGACAAGTATGGAAGAAATGAGCACTCCTCCGAGGTCAAGACCTAGTCTTGTTGAAGCTGCATTTTCAAATAGGTTGCACCAGGCAGAAAAAAAATCAAGATCACCCTTAACCAGCAGCCCGGCCGGACAGAGATTGTCAGTTGCAGCATTTCCCGTAAGTCCTGTCGTCAGCAACAATCAGGAGAATGAGAGCCCTGACTGTTTATTTAACAGGCATGGCTTGGGGATTTTGTATCCAGAAACTCCGAAAACCTATCGAACTGTTTCATATCTCGAGAGAGAAAGGAATTGCTTTTCTATAAAAAGTCGTTCCTCTCCAAGTGAAGCTTCTCCGAAAGAAAGTCCTATGTGCAGTAATATAACATCAGATTTAGAACTAGATCAACTCTTGGATGATGTTAAAGATCATTCTCAAATGAGTCCTGGTATTCCTTATGAGGATGATGATAATGCCAATGACAGTGATGATTATGATAATGATGTCATTCAGCTACGGAAGAGATCACGTCTTTCCTGGAGTGATGAAAATCTTAACCGTCATTCTGAAAATGCATCAAACTACTGGGTAGCCGAGAGTTCTTTAAAAAGAAGTCCCCGTAGCACTAGCGAACTTCAGCTCTCACAGGCAGCAACCACTACAAAGACTGGCAGACGTCGTATGAACAATGTAACATTTAATTTTTCGAGTAGTGCAAGCAATGCGCCGTCAAAACAAAGGTCTACCCTGAAGGGAATATTGAAAAAAGCAAATTTGACAACCCAGTATAATACTGATGGCATATCAAATGGACATTTGAAAACGTCTGTCTCCAAGACTCCTTATTCCCAGGGACCTCAACATCGTTCTTCAGAAGACCTTTTTTTGGAAATCTCACAACAGGATTTCTTTGATCCACCCAGTATACGTGGTTCGAATGCAGCGAAACATCTACTTGAATCCAGGATGGGCAAAAGATGGTCATCGTATGACTCTCTGCATTCAAAGAATTCACAATCTGCACTGCAGAGAGATTTTAGCGAATTGGATTCTGATGCCATAATAAAACGCCCATCTGTCAACCCTGATGATATTAATTTCAGCTTCACTGATCAGATGAACAGCAGTTCAAAAACGCAGCAACAAAGTCAGCAGAATAAAACATATTCTACAGAATTCAGTAACATAAGGAACCATGCTGCATTTCGTCACTTCATGCTGGACAATTCCATGGAGAACTCTCCAGAAGCAAGACCATTATTCGGAGATCCCAATGACTCAAGATGGTCTTTTACTCCCTACAATTTCTATTTGGAAACACTGTCCAAACAACTGAACGAACAAAACAGATCCCCAGAACATGCAAATCCAGATAACTCTTTCTCTTCTGCAGACGCTATTAAATCCACTACAAAAGATATTACTGTTACTGATATAAACAATGACCCCCAAATCGAAGATTCAGCAATTCCTATGAATTTTCCCCTGGCTAAAGATGATGACAAATCTACCCCTGCAAAAAGTGGTCCATTGCCAAATTCTGCAGAAGCGGCTGGTAATCAGAAGTTCAGCAGTGTTTTGTCACCTGACCAGGTGCAGTTTTCCCCAACAACTGAGGCCGACCGTAAAGCTATTGTGCGGAACTTATGTTCAGTGTTTGAGAACAGCGACATTTCCCTTGATGGATCAGAACCTGGATCTGCAAAAAAATCAAGGTCCTGGTATGATCTAGACAAGTAAGTAACTTTCTCTTCTAAAGACTTTTATTTGTTCAGTGGATAAATAAACCAGAGAAAAGAATAGGATAAGGTGAGGGAGAGTGGGAGACAGAGATGAAAGAAAAGATGTAGTAAAGAGGGAAGGAGAGAAAGATGATAGAAATATATTTCATTGTACAGACTGCAACTTTATACAGAGCTGTCAAGTGAAGGCTTTTAGAGAAATAGTAAAATTATGAGGATATGGTCTGGGTCATGTGATGATGTTGGGGTATTTTCATGAAGTTATTCACACACAACAGTGTCAAACAAATATTTTCAGTGTAAAGTTTTTGATCTAGAAATTTACATGAACACTTCATAAAAACCGTCTGTGACATTATAGTGTCCACTGTTTGGAAATTGTCCTGCATTAACTGGTATATGGGAGAATAGATATGACACAGCAGTTCTACACACATTTCTTTATTTCTAAAGAGATATTCCAATGTCTAAATATCTGCTCAGCTTTGAATACAAACCTAAATAAAGTTATTTTCTAAGGTAATGAATTTTTATTTATCAATCCAACAGATTTTTATCATGTTAAGGTTATTTTTAGTGGATACTCATATTTAAGTAGACACCCTATTTATTTTCTTGAATATTCAGGCTGGTAGATGAAAATAAATATATATACTGTTTTATACATAAATGGAGCGTCTATATGAATAGCCACTAAAAATAATGTTTAAAGTGTTAAAAATCTGTCAGATTATTAAATAAAAATTCATGTAGTCATTTAGTCTTTGAAAGGCTTCTTTTGCAATTCATAAGTGACTCTTTACCATCCTCCATTGTCCCTGCCCTACTCTGCCATTCATTCATTAGATAAGTTACTCACTATTTCCTTTAAACCCTCCTTTTCTTAGAACCTCTTTTGAGTATTAATTCTTTCCAAGACATTCATCTTCGTAACATGTCCCAGAAATTCTAACAGTACCCTTCTTAATTTAACTCTGAGTGTATTTCTAGTGCCCATTTTCATTATAATGTCCTTGTTGCTCACATGTTCAGGCCATGATATTCTCAGCATCCTTCTGTAGAACCATATCTCTGTATCTTCAATTCTATTCTTTAGACAGAGCTGTCAATTGAAGACTTTTAGAGAAATAGTAAAATTATGAGTATATGGTCATGTGATCATGATGGGGTATTTTCATAATGTTATTTACACACAGCAGCATCAAACAGAAAATATTTTCAGTGTAAATATCTTTCTTTAGAAATTTAAACAAATACATCATAAAAACCGTTTGTGACATTTTAGCGCCCACTGTTTTCCATGGGATATTTTAATGCCCAAGAGGATCTGTATATTAATACTATAATGTCTACCTACCTTGTGATCATCCTGGGTATCTGGCAACAAGGCTTCTGTTCAGAATGTTTTAAGAAGCATGAAACCGCCTCTTAATTGCCGTTGTTCTCAGATTCACTTTGACCCAAGGTGGTAGCACCTGTTAGGGTCCCAGCTATGGGCCAATAGTTAACCCTCAAATTTGGGTCAAAACACTATGGAAGTATAAAAATAGATATTTATAGTAAAAATACCAACAATGCATTTTTTTAAAAATATTACCAGCAACACATTTTTGAAAAAGCAATACATTTGACTCTCGACAAAAACCCTCTTTACAAAAATACACTAATAAAACTTTATATACAAACTGATTCCTTACAAAGAATACATATTCTATTCATAAAAATTTTGTCGGCATTAAATAATCAACTGGGCTTGATATGCCACAAAACTAAGTAAACTAAACCTACCTTCTGATGTAGTGTGTGGGCCCTGTAAAGAAAAGAAAAATATTAAGTACTAGCAGTAGAGTCTGGTGTTGCCTGGGGATGTAACAGTAAGAGATAGATCAAGTATCGACCATCATAAAGACTGAAAAATAAAATTGACAAAGATTATTGTTTAAGGAGACGGACATGCATGTCTTAATTAGTTTTTTATTTTTTTTTTTTATTTTTACGAGTTGGTCAAACCCAAACTCAAACAAAAATATTGTTTTCAATCGTTATGAGTCTACTGATTGAGTAGAATTTTATTATAAACAATTGTCTTGTAAATGGAATTTTTAAAGTATTCTGAATGTAAAAATAAAGAAAAAAGTGTGCAAGACAATAAGAAACACGACCTGCCAAAAAAAGTGAAGTTTTGTTGAAATCAGTTGAAAAATGTAGGAAATCCGATCCCATATATAAATGAACACACACACACACACACACACACACAAACAACCTGGGTTTTATAATAAGTATAACTCGATATGAGTTGTCCCCCTTTCATTCTCGTGACGCCTCTTAATTGTGTATTCAAATTGATTTCGTGCAAAAACAATTGTGTTTTTACAATTTTTGGCACTGTCAGAACCACCACAAGGTAATTTTACGTAGTCCTGTGAAGTTTTGTTGAAATTGGTTGAAAAATGTAGGAAATCCAATCCAATATATAAATGTACAGACACACACACACAACCTGGGTTTTATAATAAGTATGATAGTTTTACCTACTTAAAAAGACTTGAAGAAAATGGGCGAAAAGTAATAAAACTGAAAGCATGTTTCCATAATTTCCTTTCATCGACTTTTCATTTTGTTTTTCTCTTTCTTTCTTATTTACCTTTTCTTCGATGTACTTTTCTTTTTTGCTTCATCTCCTGTTTCAGTTGTCATGTGGAAATCATTAGATAGGAAGTTGACATATATATATATATATATATAATTATTGTCTTCTCATTTCTATTTCTGTCTACTATGGTAGCTAGTCAATCCCTATTACTTGCACCTGCTCAGACTCATATTTGTTCAACAAATACAGAGCTAACCTGCAGTCTATACTGCAACTATGCTGAGCAGAGCTTAGTTATACTTTCTGGACAAGACCACATAACCTGGTGTAATCAGCAGTAGAACAAGACCAATATGCTCATAAACTCTGTCGCAATGATTTGTGACTTCATGCTAGCAGAACCATCAACAGCTTCGAAGAGTTTTTCTCTATCCCATTTCACTCCCAAGACATGTGTCAACCAATTCCTTCCCAACAGTGCCACATGCTGGAATTGTCCCACTGATATTATCATGAAGTCAACTTGCTGGCAAATCAACTATGTTTAGATTCAAAACCGGTCTCATGTTCAGAACACTAAAAATCTAATGACCTATTATAGACAGATATATATGAAGTTTTATTTAATAATCTGACAGATTTTTATCACTTTAAACATTATTTTTAGTGGCTATTCATATAGATGCTCCATTTATGTATAAAACGGTATATGTATTTATTTTCATCTACCAGTCTGAATATTCAAGAAAATAAATGGGGTGTCTACTTAAATATGAGTATCCACTAAAAATAATATTAACATGATAAAAATCTGTTGGATTGATAAATCCAATACATTAGAAAATAACTTTATTTAGTTTTATTAGGTTTGTATACAGATACAAAAATTTCAAGGAATTTGATATGAGAGTGATTTCGCTTAAAGGTATTTTTCAAACTCTGCTTGGTTGGTGAGGCTACACTGTGGCTGAGTCAGTTAAGGCAATTCAAATTTAACAGGGATTTCCCTTTTCTGAGAGAGATGCAGGTTTGAATCCTGCTGGAGAGCACATATTTTTTCTTTAATAAGATTTCAGGCTGGTAGGAGAAAATAAATAAATATACTGTTTAATAAATAAATAGAGCATCTACACAAATATGAATATCCACTCAAAATAATGTTTAAAGTGATATATGTATATAAATATAAAAGTGAAGATTGAAGTCAACACTCAGCTATTTCATGCTAGGTGGAATTGTCAGGCCACCTTACGATTGCACCTAGCATGAAACAGTTTGTTGCCTCTGGGTGTTGACTTCAATGTTCACTTTTATATTTATATTTACAAACGCTCTATCTCTGATATTGAGCACTTTATCCCATAAATATAGCACAACTTAAAACTATATTTCTTCATAAATATATATATATATATATAAATATAATCTGCTTGTCTGAATCATCTTCAAGAAGCCAGAGAAAGAACTAAAAGTTCAGCCAATCTAACAGTGATCTCATCTCACAATCCTCACACTTGCTCCATATGTGGCCTCCTTTGTAAATCACCAGCAGGTCTTAAATGCCACTTAAGATTATCGCACAAACTTTCATAACTGAATCAATTAAGTTGTCAGATCCTCATACGTCGAAACCAACCATTATTATTATTATTATTATTATTATATATATATAGTGAACGTTGAAGTTAACACTCAGAGGCGACAGATTGTTTCACATGTTGGCCTGATGATTGCATCTAGCATGAAAGAGCCTGTTGCCTCCGAGTGTTGATTTCAATGTTCACTTTTATATTTACATATGTTCTATCTCTGATATTGAGAACTTTATCCGATAATTATAGCACATCTTAAAACTATATTTCTTCATATATATATATATATATATATATATATATATATATATATAACAGTTATTGGTCAGAGTTAAATTAGACCAGGAAAGAGTTATATTAAAAAGTGCTTAATACACATGTAAAGAAAATAAAACTTTAATGTACAGTGCTTTTAAATTTCATGGTTTCAACCTTTAGGTATACTCAGGTGATTTTCTAATTTTTGAAATATGCACATATATAGGTATATGTGTGTGTGTGTGTGTGCACATGTGTGAGAGAGAGAAATCTGGATATATGACCCAACAATGCATGGTGATGGTCAATTTCACAATTCAAGTGATCTTCCAATGATCTGAATGCCACTGGATGCATGAAACTGTGAGTTACCATGCAGTGTTGATTCATATGTCCACACTGTCTATATTTATAAATGCTCTTTCTTAAACTCTGTCTTTGATACTGAGTGCACTTACCACATGAATATATCAAATTTGAAAAGAATTAGCATCTGTGATTATAATACTGTGCCCACTGTCAAATCACATTGAAAATGCTGTCTTTCA